ATTGGTTGATTAGATAATTGCATTAATGAGAAATTGAACAGGTGTTCCTAATAATCCTTTAGGTGAGTGTATATGTGAGCATTTCAAAAGGTGATGAGTCTACTAAGGGCGGTTTTCCAAATATGGTACTTTTGGTACTTTCACTTTTGCATTGAATTCCTGCCGAGTACCAGTACAGACACTGCCAAACCAGCTGGGGTACTGCTTTGGTACTTTGGTACTTTGGCGTGGGACTTTCTTTGTCAACTCTTTCTTTGTTGATTTTTTTTTCTGCCTCTGAAACACGATACAAACCCACCTTTAAAACAGTCTCAAACTTTTAGTCTAATTTAGTCTAAGGGCACATTTCCACCATACCAGGTACCATACTTTTGGTACTTCAAAAAAAAGATTTGGTACTTAAAGGTGTTGGTTTTCCACTGGTGTAAAAACTGGTACCGTCGCTGAATGACATCACAACACGATACAGGGATTTTGTACTGAAAACTAAAAATTACTGTAGTATCTTATAGAGCCTGATGATATGCAATATTAATATTACCATTGCATGTTATGCACTTCAATTCTTATATTGCCAGTCAGCTATATTAACATCAGGCTTTTTCTCACTTTCAATTCTGTATGGACATTGTAGCGCAGGGGGTTAAAAAAATTTTCCTAAAATATTTTTACTGTTACTCTGTCATAGGAAAAAAAACCTGGCAAGCTTTGCAATTTTAATTATTCCTTTTATAGATTCTTATATCTTTAAAAATCAGTTTGAAGTTTTTCGCCACTGCTTTTGCATGAGCACTGCATATATTCTCCGAGACGGTCGACAAAGAAAGCTTTTCAAGTCCCACCCCAAAGTATATCAGCTGGTTTAGCACTTTCTGTACTGGTATTCGACCAGAAATCAATGGAAAAGCGAAAGTTCCAAAGGTACTGTACCAAAAGTATCGTACTTGGTGCGGTGGAAAAGCGCCCCTGCTTTGGCTCTTTTGGTACTGGAACCTTTGGTATTGGTACTCGACTGGAAGTCAAAGAAAAAGCAAAAGTAGCAAAAGTATGGTACATGGTGCAGTGGAAAAGTGCCCTAAGCACCTCGAGAATCTTCCACAGGCATATACTTGTGGCATGTGGTTATACATCATTTTACTGCTTGTTAAATCATTCAGAGATGCCATCTGTCAGTGGGGGAATTTTCTTTATAAAAGATTATACTCTTGTAGAAATGCTTCACCTCAGTGTTCACCCTGACTGGCTTTGCATTTATTGCCTTTATCCTCTACAGTAGGCATGGCCAATCTTATCCACAAAGAGGGCCAGTATGTATGCAGGTTTTTGGGATATCTTTTAGGTCAGCTGTTCACACCTAAATGTGAGGACTATTCAGCCAATCAGTCCTCTAATTAATAATCTAATTAGGGATTTGCAGCGAAAACCCACATACACAGAGGTCCTTTCAGGATGGGCCATCCTTACTCTAAAGCAAGGTTAGGTAACCCTGATCCTGGAGTGCTGGTATACAGCAGGTTTTCTGTCCTACCTGAGATCAGACGTGGCTCATCAGAGACCAGGTAGAATGTAAAAGGTTCTGGATCTTGGCACTCCAGAATCATGGGTGCCTACTGCTGATCTAAAGGATCCAGTAGATAGTCATACCAGAAAAATGCACTATGCCTCATAACAAAGTGTAAAACATACACATGTGCTTATATGTTTTTTTTTGAGAATTGTATGAAAGATGAGCATATGACCATATGCACTGTTTAGCAGACTGCTCTGTTCTGTGTAATTTATTGAACAGTTTATTGAAAGAAACGGCATTTTAGGTACATTAAGCAGTTTATGCACTGCAACCCAATCATACTAACCATCTCTGTGAAGTTCCCAAAATAGCCTACTTGATGCAATTTACTGCTCTCATCTCAGATTGACATTTGCAGTTAGCTGATTTGGAGTTGGTTACCCTGTTACCCTGGTAGCCAAATAATGGGCAGACATTAAATGCTTAGGAATCACAAATGTGTCGATCCATCTGCCATTAGTATGCATTGTATTTATCTTTAATCCAAATGTCTTTTTTATTATTTGCAGTTATCTAACTTTTAAATTCAGGATATGAATGCCATGCATCACTGCTAAGATGTAACGTTTCACTTCCACCAAACCAGCGTTTTAAAGGCAGCATTCTACCTGAAACGCCAATTATATTTAGAGTAAATATTGGAAGTTCACTTGACATTCATATACATGTAAATGTCATTAGTCCAATCAGATATGGAATTTATAAAAGTTGAATGAAATATAAGGTGCAAGATATATATATATATATATATATATATATATAATTTTTATATAGCACCTTTCACAACAAAATCGCCTCACTAAAAATATATGTATATGTAATTTCTTTCGAAATTGGATTTATAAATTGAAGAGAATCATTTCAAGTCAAAATTAATTTGACTTTGACTTGACAAAACATCAACACGCTCAAATGATTTTTTTTTTGTTCTGTTGTTTAGCCAAGGAAGAGCAGACTGATACCCAGAGCAGCACTGTCTTCAGAAGGGTAAGGCTGTAGTATAGACGACTGCGTGCTGTTACAACACACTAACACCTTGCTTGCAAACTGGCTCTCTATTTTTTTTAGTTTTACAATGATTTCTGCTGCTTATAAATAACATATTTTTGTTAACAATAATGCTGTTATGTCTTGCTGTATTAACCTTTAAGTGAAATTTGCTTGAGTGTTTTAGCAAGTCTGATGGCTTCTCTGTTGGTCCTGACACCTCCGATAGAGGTGGAACTAAAGAAGAATCTGAGAATTTGCGGCAGCTTTTAAAATAACTATACATTCTGTGTATAGTTATTTTATACAGTATGAGGATACTCACAAGTCCCAGGCTGAGGGTGGTTCAGCTGAATGTTTTTCTGGTGGACGAGAGGGTTGCTTCTATAAGGTCCATGGAGAAAAACTGACTACTGATCAGAGTACATAGCCTTCTTAGAGAAAGTGGGTGAAATACTCGGAAAGGTACTGCCTATGGACTCTGTGGTCTACTAGGAGATTTCATTGCTCACATTGGGAACACTGGAGGGACATGATTAGGAAGAATTATTTGGCTTCATGCCATGGATGTCCATAATAAACACCAGGTTCAAAAAGGATGTTCAGAAGTGTACATGGTACCAGAGAAGCCTAGGCTAAAGGACATACGTATAGTTGTTTAATCTGATACGAGCTTGTGTGCTTTGAACACTTGGCTGTAAGGCAGAGAAGCCTAATAGTGCTACGTCCCGGTCTAGGGACGGGGTATAAACACCAGTAAGGTTCGGGAAATAATTAAGGGTTGCTGTGGATTAATTTAAATTAATCACGATTAAATACCATTCATTTTTAATCTATATTAATCGCATTTCATTTTGCATGAGCAAACAGACTCAAGAAAAAAGGGAATATATATACTGTATGCACTTAACATGTTTATTGAACATTTTGAACATGAGTCGGATGCATTCCATCTGCCACAGAAGTGCAATACCATGGACCCATATCAAAAAGCAAGATTTTTTTTGCTTAGCCGGACAACTTGTCGGATTTAAGGTACCTCAGTTTAAATGGTCTTTATCTTCGTTCACTTACAATTAACCCAAACTACCGTAAATCTGAGAAATAATCCGAATAATCATGAAATCCAATTCTAGCCCGGTTAAATGCCATTGTTAGCAATATCAGTTAACACCTTACACGCAGTGCTTTACGTATAAAACTCCGTAGCAACACGTCTACAGATAAGTTGGATGGTATAGTGTGTGCGACCGATTTAAAGAGCCGCAAATGAGAAGTAGTGCTTAAACTGTATAAAACTACAACTTTCCTTTCTGTTGCTAAAGGGCGCCGAGAAATGGAAGCGTGCATGTCGTCACTTCCGGCTTCAAAACTCCGGGTTAACAGAGACATTTCAGGGATTTTGAGTCATTCTGCCCTGCAGATGGGTTAATTGCGTTAAAAATTCAAATCAGATTAATCATGATGATGGATTAATCTGCGTTAACCCGTTAATTTTGACAGCCCTAATATATGTATACACACATACAGTATTTACACTGGGTAACCAACTCCAATCCATAATCCTAAGAATAGTCGTTAACGAGACAGTAGTCAAAACACAGGTAAGCAAATACACAAGCCGAATAACCAAAACCAAATTGAAAACCAAAAGCGCGAGAGTCGAGAGCCAAAAACAGGTCGTAGCAGTAGGTCAGAAAATACAATAAGCAAAAGTAAAGCAAAGACGGAGCATGAGCAAAAGCTGTCAGATGGGGTGTTCAGGCGTCTTTTATAATCTGTGGCTGGAGAGGCGGGAAACGGGAACGAGGTGATGACAACCAGTCCATCCAGTTTTAGCATGGCTTTCGTGGTGAGAGATGGAAAATGTGGAACCGGAATCGGCAGTCTGGCGGAACGGGATCTGAAAGAGAAAAAGAATGGATACACATACCCACCCACACGCATACGGATGTGACAATAGTGAATTGGATTCAGCTCTTGTGGAGGAGGCCATATAGATAAGAATGACTCAGACAAGCAGTCAAGGATTGTTTAGAGCAATACTTATTTAGCCAACACTAAGTGGCGTTGGGGTGGGCTGGGAGTCTGAATGGACCATGTAAAAGTCTTCAGTTGTTGCGGTGGCTGCAATGGTGGTCGATGCTGGTCATGGTGAGAAACCTACACTGTCAGAAAAAGGTACTATTTTGTATCTTTGCTTGTCACTGGGGCTGTACCCTTAAGGGTCTGCCAATTGTACCTTTAGCTGTACTTTTTAAGATATAGAAATGGACTATTGGCAGTATATTAATGTAATTTCCTTAAATTAGACTAAAAGATACATTTACCTACAGCTAGGGTACAATTGGCAGAACCTCAAGGGTGCAGCCCCAGTGACAAGGTACAAATTGGTACTATTTTCTCTGACAGTATAGGTGGACACCTGTGGTGAAGGGAACTATGAAGTTGAAACACTTTTGTAAGCAATGTCCTGAGATAACTAAAAGGTACCAACAAGCTAGAAAGGCTGCAGCAAAGGCGGTCGTGAAAGCCAAAGCTTGTTCATGGGAAGAGTTTGCATTCAGTCGAGGTAGCAAAATGCTGATCAAATATTATCAAATGGTGAAAGAACACTTTGATGAACTCCACTGCCCAGTGGGTATGCCCTCTCAACAGGAGGCAGTGTTGGAAACTTCTGGTGGATCACCACCCCACTATGGAGTTCCTCAAAGTGCTTGCAGCTATTGCTACAGTGGGCAAAGGCCTTCATATTAGAAAGACTGCAAGAATAAATGAAATCCATCCAGGGATGTTAAAAGAACTGGTTGTTGTTGTTGACAGGTGATGTGCCTCTTCAGTGTTGTATGGAAGAATGAAGTACCTCTGGCCAGGCAGACAGGGGTGGTGGTTGCATTTTTAAAATAGCGTGAGTCATGCTTTTCTGCTTCCCTGAGAAAGTCTATCCCCAGGTTAATAGGCTCCACCTGATGGTCAAACCTTGGTTTCAGGAAGAAGAATGATATTTCCTGATTAGCTATGGAACAGTAGACCACTAGCTTCTCCTTTGCATGACTGTGTGCTTTGTGGACACAGAGAATGCCCCAGCTCATACTGTGGCATATGTAGATGATATGTTTCTAGTGGCACCTGCTCAAGACCTCCCACACACTGTTGAGTAGTTTGTTGAGTGTGAAAGGACGGGGATGAGCATCAGTGCCTCCAAATCTGAGTCCATGGTACTCTCTAAGAAGAAAATGGATTGCTCCTTTCATGTGATTGGGGAGACTGCTCTTAGTGAACAAGTTTATTCACCTTGAGCTAGGACTGGACGATATGGCAAAAATTTATATCACGATATATTTCTTAATTTTGGTCGATACGATATAATTCCGATATCGATATGGACAATATTAAAAAGCCTCAGGAAAAAACTGCCGAGGACACGCACAATGGATGTCTGCAAACTGAATTTATCTATAATACCTCCAGGCTCCTCCTATTAAAATTATATAATTTT